CCATGCGGATCATCCGCAGAATCTGCAGGAAGCGCAGGCTCCGGAGCGCGGACGTGGCGAAGACGTTCCCCTGGGAGCCGGCGGCCAGCACCGCGATGGAGGCGATGAGCACCATGATGTCTGCGAGGCGGCGCGGAGCTGGTGAGCTGCGGCTGCCCCTGCGGCCCCCGGGGAAGCCCCAGCCCCGGGTTCCAGGAGGCTGTGCAGAGGGCCGGGAAGGTGCGTGACACGCGCCCAGTGTGCGCTCTGTCCAGCCTCAGGAAGGCCATTACCACCACCCACCCTGCCTGGGGTCCCGGGACAGGCAGGCTGGCGCCACGTCCCTCTTCCTGACACTCAGGTGGAGTGAACCACAGGCTCCGACTCCGAGTCAGCAGGTGAGAAGAAACTTCCAGAAGGAGCCCACGCAGATGCCCCAGCTCCCCCCAGGGCCGAGTCCCTGCCTGGGTCCCCGGCCCCAACACCGCACCAAGCCTCACCAATCACACAGAACGGCTTCCGGGCAAACTTGAGCCTCCCCCTCCAGCCGCGGTAACGGCAGCAGCAGCCTGCGGCCCAGATCCGCACAAAGTACTCCACGCCGAACACCACGATGGTCACGATTTCCTGCAGGGGAGGCGAGCTGAGGCCACGCGAGGCCTGGGGGAGGGCCTGGGGGCCCCGCCTGGGCACCCACAGGGGCCGCTCTGGCCCAGAGACCAGGCCACGGGACCGGAGGCCCCCACGGGAAACTGCAAGCTTAGCCCGACCCCTCTCCAGCCTCTGCACAGGACGGGTTGGACCCTCTGGGGTCCCTGAATCCAGGAACACCACAGGGTCACCCTCCCCCAATCCCTGTCTGAGCTGTGGGGGGCTCTATCTGAGCTGGAATGGGAGCTTGTCTGAGCTTTGCGGGGGTGGCCCTGTCTGAGCTGGGGGCTCTATCTGAGCTGTGGGGGGCCTGTCTGAGCTGGGGGGCCCTGTGTGAGCTGGGGGTCCTGTCTGAGCTGGGGGTCCTGTCTGAGCTGGGGGTCCTGTCTGAGCTGGGGGCCCTGTCTGAGCTGGGGGCTCTATCTGAGCTGTGGGGGGCCCTGTGTGAGCTGGGGGCCCTGTCTGAGCTGGGGGTCCTGTCTGGGCTGGGGGTCCTGTCTGAGCTGGGGGTCCTGTCTGAGCTAGGGGGCCCTGTGTGAGCTGGGGGCCCCGTGTGAGCTGGGGGCCCTATCTGAGCTGTGGGGGGCCTGTCTGAGCTGGGGGGCCCTGTGTGAGCTGGGGGTCCTGTCTGAGCTGGGGGTCCTGTCTGAGCTGGGGGTCCTGTCTGGGCTGGGGGTCCTGTCTGAGCTGGGGGTCCTGTCTGGGCTGGGGGTCCTGTCTGAGCTGGGGGGCCCTGTGTGAGCTGGGGGCCCCGTGTGAGCTGGGGGCCCTATCTGAGCTGTGGGGGGCCTGTCTGAGCTGGGGGGCCCTGTGTGAGCTGGGGGTCCTGTCTGAGCTGGGGGTCCTGTCTGAGCTGGGGTGTACAGCAGGGCCGTGAAGGACCCAGGTAACTACAAGAGGGGCACAGCCTCCACCCAGACCTTGGGCAGTGCCAGGACAGAAGGACACGGCGGGCAGTAGAGGGAGGTGCATTCGGGTGGGGACCAGTCTCTCTGAGAGCCCCCAACCCCGTTACCAACAGCAACACAGGAATTGTACTTCCTCCCGTTGCCATGGCACCCACCCTGCCCTGGCACAGCGCTGCTGCCAGCGTCACCACCCCCACTCCAACACCCACGCCTGCCGTCTGCTGGGGACGCCCCACGGCTTTGGCTCCGGAGATAATGGGAGGGTGGGAAAAGGGGGGTGGGCCCACCCGGGGTGGGGGGATGGAGGCGGGGCTGTCAGCTGCTGTGACATCACCAGGAGGGGTGAGGCGAGGCCTGAGTTACTCACAGCCAGGGTGGGGCTGTGGGGCTGGGGGCAGGTGGGGCTTCGGGAGCTGGTTCGGGGCCAGAGGGCGCAGGGTGGGGAGAGGGGTTGTGCGGTGGGGGTCGGGGAGGCCTTTACAGGAGGCCGGGATCGGGGGCGTCAGAGGCTCTATAGTAACAGGATGGGGGGACAGACACCCAGGCAGCTCCGGCTCCTTCCCGGCCCCTCCGGCCCCCACCACCCCCGCCCGGGGCTCACCAGGATGTAGAGGGCCCCCTCCGAGCTCTTCTCATACTCCTTGATGGTGGAAAACACAGACAGCACGAGGCAGGAGAAGACCAGGAGGAACCTGGGGGGCAGGGAACCCGCGGTCAGCCGCGCCTCGGGGGCACCAGCGAGGCTGCGTCTCCAGAACACAGGGCCCCATTCCCCGCCCACCCCGCCAGAGCCCCCACCGGCCAGAGGGCACCCCTCAGTTCTGGGACCCCGGAACTCCACGGCGGCACGGTGCGCGGCTGCCCCCCCACCCCAGGACGTGCCCCCGCTCTCCATGCCGGCCCCGCCCCCTCTGTCTGGCTTCAGCCTGGCAGCCTCATCCTTCGGGAAAGTCTCCAAAACTCGGAGTCAAATGGGAACAGCCAGGCCTGCCCATCAGCTGCTGCAGAAGCAGGAAAAGCAACACCCTCGGGGCAGAAGGCTCCGGACCAACCCTCCCCTCCCCCCACAGTCGCCCATCTATCTCCTCTCCAGACCCTGATGCAGAGAGCTTCCCTCTGCCAGTCAAATCCAGAGCCAAGCGCCAAGAGCTCCTTGGGTCACCTGCTTTCCGGCCTCTCCCTGGCTGCCAGGAGGCTCAGTTTCTCCTTCCTCCTGCTCACAGGCGCCTCCTCCTGCCAGTGATTCCCACCGTGACTGCCCTTCCCACCCTCTTCCCACAGGACCACCTGACTCTCTCTCTAACCCTTTTCAACCTCCCCTCAGATGGTCAAGTTCTCAGCCACACCAAAATTCTCCCAAATACATGTAGTTGGTGCTGTTTTTTCCAGACAGAGTTTCGCTCTGTCACCAGGCTGGAGTGCAGTGGCACGATCTCGGCTCACTGCAACCTCTACCCCCCAGGTTCAGGCGATTCTCCTGCCTCAGCCTCCCGAGTTGCTGGGATGACAGGTGAGCACCACCACGCCCGGCTAATTCTTGTATTTTTTAGCGGAGACAGAGTTTCACCACATTGGCCAGGCTGGTCTCGAACTCCTGGACTCAGGTGATCCTCCTGCCTCGGCCCAGCAAAGCACTGGGATTACAGGTGTGAGCCACCGCGCCCGGCCCAAATGCATGACGTTTTCTCGGCCCTGCGTCCTCCTCTGATACAAGTGGCTGTGATTCACTTGCTCCCTTGCCCACCCAGAAAGCTGCAGACGGGAGGTGCCTGCCCAGCTGTGGCTGCAGCAAGGCCACCCACATAGAAGAGACAGAAAATCTCCCAGCTCTTCCTGGGAGCAAAGCTGAGCCTCCCAGAGCCTCAAGCTGCCGCTTCGGCAGGAAAGCAGCCCCCGCCGTGGAAGTCACGGAAAGCACGCGAGAGAGAAACCCACTTCTCAGGAAGCAAATGCTTCATCCCCTTGCCATTTCTCACACGTGTCCTGGGATGCGCAGGGGACGTGTCCAACGTCCGGGTCCTTGGCCACAACCATAGCGGAGGCCACTCATGGAACAAGCCCTGGTTCCTGGCAACGGGAGAGAAGCGTTGCCTTTCCCCTGACAGCGGTGCTGCCTCTCGTTCCAACGATGCTCAGACCAGGAGCCGGCAGGGACCGAGCCAGAGCGGCCACCGCCCCGTGTCCCCGCCCCGGCGCTGTCTCCGCACTCACCATCACCCCCCGCCCCCGGCGGCACGGCCCTGCCCCGCAGACTCAAACCCGAACCCTTCCTCCATCCCACGTCCAGGGGACTGCTGGGGGAGGGAGGTTCCCCACACACAGAATCCCTTCCCTCCCATCCCCGAAGCAGCGCCACAGCCCTGCCTGGGTTCCAGGGCACTGCCCCCGCTCCCCTCTCCGCGCTCCCACGGAGGAAATACCCCCTGGATGCCCTGGCCTGCAGGGCCGGGGGGCTGGCCACTGGCACGGGCATGCCGGGGGCTCTCTTCAGCCCAGACACACCCCCCCATCGCTGGAGCTTTGGGCACCACAGCGCCTGCCCAGACCCACCCTCCCATCACAGCTTCGCTGGGGGCACGGAGGTGCTCATGGGATTGAGGCCTGGCCAACCCCTGCCAGTGAGTGCTGGCCCCAGAACCTCCGCTGGAACTACCAGGCAAACGGCACCCCCTTCCCACCGAGGCCGCCAACTAGGAGGAGGCAGGCCTGGGGCACTGGACAGGTGGGCACAGGAAAACCTGCCTGAAAATGAGGTCACCACAAAGAAGCCAGCACCGAGGGACCGGGGAAGAATCATAAAGACATGTAATGTGAGCACCTGGATCCAGCTGTGCCTGAAGCCCCTTGGACTTTGACATTATATAAGCCCATTACTTAACGAAACTTTGGATTTGTTCTCTGCCGCTTGCAAATGAAAGATCCCTGACCTTTCAGGCTATTAGCAGCTGACGGGCATGAGTGTGTCCCTGCTCTGAGCCCACACCTGACTCCACCACGCTGTGGCCACGTGCTACTCCAACCCAGGTGGCTGTGACAGAAGCTGCCACGGATCAAAAGGAAAAAAACAAAACAAGTCTTTGGTGCGAGGCGCTATTTAGGGAGCAGAGGTCAGCGTCAGCAGCGGGGTCTGGAGGGTCTGGAGGGTTTGGGGAGCAGAGATGAGCGTTGGCCGAAGTGCCTGGTGGGAAGAGCACCCGACTCCGCTCACGGCTTCTGTCTCTCAGGAGCGCCCCTGGAGAGCAGCGGGGAGAGGACTCACCGACGGCTGAGCGCTTCGGCCGGGAGACGGGGAAGCCCCAGCGTCTCAGCCGGCAGGGAGAGTTCTCAGACTTTGGCCACAGAGGCAGAAGGACAGGACCAGGCCATCCGGGCACAAACCTGGGGTCCCAATCACCCCAGGCTCAGGCTCCGAGCCCCCTAACTGGGATCGGCCCACTGGGCGGTAGCAGCAATTCCAGCAGATAATTGAGCCCACATCTGACATGCCACACTCAGAGCGGGCCCCATCCTGCACCGTGGGTGCCACGCACCAGCAACCACATGCAGTGCCCAGCCCTGCACCACCCCCGCCCTGGGACCCTTCACCCATCGTGCTCCAGGAGCCTGCTGCCCTCTGCCTCTACAGGCCCTGCACCACCCACACCCCGCCTCACCACCTCTCCGTAACCCAAGCCCCCAGGTACCCCAAACCCTCCTCCTGCTGCTCCAGAGGGACCTAGATGAAGCCTGCTACTCTTTCGGAAGTCACAGGCACAGCACCCACGCCAGGCAAGGTCCCCACACTGGGGGTCAGGGCTGGACCTCCCTCCCCAAGTGGCTTCAGCCTTCTAGGAATGAGGCAGCACTGATGCCCGCCCCGCTGCCCCCCGGAGCTGCCCCAGGTGTGGGAGGCCATGGATGCCCCAGGCAAGGACCAGGACTCCCGGAGGCATCACTGGGCACCGAGGTCAGCCCCAGGGGCGGGGCCTGAGAAGACGCCTGGGAGGGTGGGGGGAGCCAGGAGGTCGCTAGCCCAGAGGTCACACAGGGTCACGGTGGGGTCAAGGCTGGACAAGAGTGGCAGGCGTCGGGGTGACAGCTGGCAGGGCCGTGTCTGTGGAGCCGGGGCTGCGGAGCTCAGAAGCAAGGGAGGGCAGGCCTGTGCAGAGAGCCCTCGGCGTGACTAACTCCATCTTAGAAAAAGACTCCATGTGTTTTTCACAAAGCACTCTGTGAAGGAGGAAAAGATGTTTTGTTGAAGAACAAAAAAGAAAAAGAAAACTGGCCGGGCGCGGTGGCTCACGCCTGTAATCCCAGCACTCTGGGAGGCCGAGGCGGGTGGATCACCTGAGGTCAGGAGCTCGAGACCAGCCTGGCCAACACGATGAAACCTCGTCTCTAGTAAAAACACAAAAATGAGCTGGACGTGGTGGCTCACGCCTGTCATCCAGCTACTCGGGAGGCTGAGGCAGCAGAATCGCTTGAACCGAGAGGCGGATGCTGCAGTGAACCGAGATCAGGCCACTGCACTCCAGCCTGGGCGATACAGCAAGATTCTGTCTCAAAAAAAAAAAAAAGAAAGAAAGAAAGAAACAAATAAAAAAATAAGGACCAAGTCCAACCAGAAAAGGACACGCACGGCCCCGCTCCGGCTCCGCTCTCCCTGGAGGCCTGTCTTCACGGCGGCTGCGGCAGCCCAGGCCAGGCCTCCAGGTGGCTTCCGACCCTCTGTGTCTTCTTCCTCCTGATGTCAAACCTGACTTTGTGGTGGAACACGTGTGCCCTGGTGGGATACGGTTCGCAGCACTGACCCACGTGGCGTGGCCGTGACCGCAGTGTGGCCGTGACTCCACGAAGCTCGTGGCTTGACTGAAACAGCATCAATAAAAGCCTGACCTTGTGGACAGACGGAAACCACGTGGACCTCACGTCGAGCCCATCCTGTGTACAAAGTGCCTCCAGCATTGGGGCCTCGGGAGAGCTGCCCCCGGCCGAGAACGAGAGGGCGTTCGTGCCGCTCCAGGCTCGATTCACCCACGGGCACCCGCACTGCTTCCCTCTGCCCAGACCGTCATCTCCCCCACAAACACCACCCAGATGTGGAGAGGCCGCATGGCCCCCTGCAGCCCCCCTCCAGCCCGCTGGAGCCCCCCCAAGTCCCTGAGTCCTCCAGCCTGGGCAGACGCGGTCCCCACAGCTCTGCCTTCCGGCTCCCCAGCAGCGGCCTCTGCTGCACGGCCCGGGAAGGGAAGACGGGGGACAGGGCGGTCCCCCTGAGACCTGCCCGGGAAGGGCACGGCCGTGTTTCAGAAGCACACAGGGCCATGCGGTCTGAGGCGGAGGCACAGGCGGCTGGGCCAAGGTCAGCCCCACAACCTGCCCATCCCAGCACCAGAGCCAGTGGAGACCTGGCCCTGCTCAGCCACAGGCGGCGGGGACCCCGCCTTCGAAGGCTCTGCCCACCGGGCAGCAAAACCATGGGCGAAGGGGCAGGGGACACGTCTTAACGCGTCTCGCGAAACCTCAGCACCTCTAGCGCGAGCCCAAGTCCGGATTCCACCCACACGCACCCTGAAGACGCCCCAGCCCCACGCCGCGGAGAAGCCGTAACCCCGTGCCCGCCTCTGAGCGAGGCCTTGGTAAAGCGCGGCCACAGCTTCCCTACGACCCTTAAAAAGCCAGTGACGGCCAGTGCCCACGGCCCCCACGTTGG